GAAGAAGACTTAATTTTTAAAGGCAAAAGTGAAGCAATTCACTTTGTAAGACTAGTGAACATCCTTCCTGAAATATGTTTAAAGTTCTTCTGTCTTCTCACAGTGAATTATCTGACATTTGTGAGATAGCTTACAACCTCCCACATTTAATCTACAGCAGCAGCAGCACAAGCAAACGCTAGGAAACTCTAAGTCCTGTAGTTATTGTCACTCTAAGAAAAGGAAGCTGTTAGTCCCCTTGCAAAAAAATTCACAAGTGATGGGAGATGTCTGCAGTTTCCGAAATCTCGGAGAGACAAACAGCCCATCTTTCTTGCTTGATTTCTACTAGGGAGAGTCTAAATCACAGAAGGGGATAGCTCATGGTCTGTATTTCCCTCTGCCCCCACAATCTGTTACAGCAGCACTTTTCATGTTTGGCTGTAGATTGAAACTAGGACCTTTTTGTCCTAATGATCTTGTACTGATCCAAACTTAGTAAAGTCATTGCACTTGGCCGCAATGATCTCTGCGGTCCAGGAGCAGTGATACTTGAATTTTGCTAACATTGCTGTGAAATGCCAGAGCTGAAGGCTTCTAGTCATGTCCAGAGTAGGCCAGAACATGTCTTCTCATCAAATGCAAAGCAATCGTAGATCATGTCTGTCTCAGTATAGAGACTTTTACATCCTATGGGCTGTTTGCTGTGACCCTGGCCTGGGGAACTCATGGTGAAGACGCAGCTATGTGTTTTGCCAAATTTAGTGTGGAGAAACTGTTCAGAGTAAAGCATGTCTGCTGGGCTACACTATCTACCCTCTCAAAAGAGATGCTATAACGCTCTTTTGCTTTTGTTAAGTCTTTGAGAGGCTTTGTTATGAGCTCAAAGTAGGGTGAAAACAAGTTTCAAAAGCACAGCATTGCTGCAGAAAGGATTTTCTATTTTCTCATCAGTAATTAGGTGACTTCTTAAAAAAGATGCTCTCCTCCTCAAAAGCTGCATTAGCAGCTAGAGRCATGGAACCAAAGCTTCCCAAATGGCCACTTGTGTTGTTGGAACATTCAAGGATTCACTTGTACTGATTTCCACATAATTCTAAATAAACCCCATTGAATAAATTGGGAGATAAGTTTTCTTAGCATTGCAAGTAAACAGCTTTCATGTATTTCCTTATTTACAGGAATATAGGATTAGTATGATATTTGTCCTTTATCAGAAATACAAACTTAAGCTATGGGATTTGCAAGTTGCCTTCATTTTTTTTTTTTTTTCATTTCATAGTAAGGAATTCTTAGGCCTCGTTCAGTGAGTGTAAATGTTCCTGTTAAGTGCATTTGAGAGCCCATTATGAGATTTCCTCRAGTATTTTGCTCTCCTTACCTGATTTCATTGGGTTTTTTGAATCAAAGTATTATATTCATAGCTTCTAGAAATCCTTCCTTTGAATCTTGGTGTCGAGTTTCTTTGCTCTTTTCATATTTTAGTGTTTGTGTGTGTTAATTACAGTTATATTGGCATGTATGATCACTGAACAAAAAGCCCTATCAATTTCACCTTTCTGTTCACAATTTTGATTCTGAGATTGTTGTTCTCAAACCTGTTCTGGACTTTCTCCCTTAAGACAAATGAAATTTTCTCTTCGTCTATGGAAAAAGCTATTACCCTCACACCCAAAATGAAACATTCCCAGGAGAAATACTGCCTTGTGTTCAGAACATTGCATTTTATCGTTCTGAGGGATAGGCATCCAGTCTGCCTCCCAGTTTATATTCTGAAAAGATGAGCTTTAGGATTTAGTCACGGGACTGGATTTTCCATTGTCCTAAACCCTTCCTAGTYATTCATGTGAGCGCGCCATGGTGTCAAACGCTACGTCCCATCAGAATGGGGGAACCGTATTGGTCTGAGTATAAGATAAGGTTTTAAAAGACTGAAAAGGGGGGGGGGAATGACCAACTGCTTCCTTGCATTGAACATATGGCCTGTAACCATCTCTTGTGTGCCACRCTTCCTCTGTGCCCCCAGCAGGGTCTGGTTTTAGGCAGGAGGAGGTAGGAGCAAGTGCCGAGTCTTGCACAGGGATGGGTCCCACGTGTCTCGTGCATCTTCCTGGGCATCGGCCAGCATGGCAGGTAGGTTGAGGGCCTCATGGCCATGAGGCTTGCAGTGGGCAGGTCAACAGTGGAGCAGTTTCTATCGTTTATGGTGGAAATTGTCACAAAATGGTCCCTTGGCTTCTCAGAGTGAGGGAGATTTGCCCCAGTTCCCTACTAACGTAAGGGCAAGGGGCAGGCAGGGAAGGTCAGGTAAGAGGGTTCCCAATCTCTAGGCAGATGAGAACAAAAAAATCTTTGTGTTTCCTTAAAGACCTTTTCACTCTTGGTTTCTATAAAGGCAATAGTGTATCAAGAGCAGAATAATGGAAGCTTAATCTTTCGTAAATTGTAGAGGGGTTGTGTTTAAGCTGCAGTTACATCTCAACCAGGCTTCCTGTCAGGGAAATGGGCTAAATTTATTCTTCACCCTTTGAAAAGATAAAGAATATTGTGCCTTTCCTTTGTCATTATGTAGTGCTTAAAACTGTGAAATAGTCTGCTGAAATAAGTTGTATATATTCTTGAATCATAAAAATATCAGTATTTAAGAAAAAAATGTCCTCTGCAGGCCTGTAAGCTTAATGCCGCCGTGATTCTTTTACGCAGCCTATTTAGATAAAGCAACATAAAAGGAGATTAGTTCTTCTGTGTTACAGGTATTTGAAAGGAGAAAAAAAAAACTAATTTAAATATAGCTGCAACCTTGAATCCTTGAGAAAACTATTTTCTAAGGTGATACTGTTTTAAGCATTTAGACTTTTAATTAAGCTGTTGAAACTCAACCTTTCCTGCCTCCCTCCCTGCCTCCCATTTCCAAAATAGACCTTCTCTAAGTAAGTGACCATTGCCAACCTGAGCCAGAGGGCAGCATTCACCGCCGTACAGTGCTCCGATTTGGGCTCCAGATGCATCTAAGCTACCTTTTAACTCCTCTTTCTCTGTATGGTACCAATAAATGTATTAAAAAATGAATTGCTTCATATGGCCTAATGCATAATTGTTAAGTGAATAAATGACATTGCCATTAGCATTCAGTTATAAATACATTTGAATTTTAAACTGCACATATGCTATTTCTCCGCTTGAAACTAGCGGCTTCTGCTTTTAAAAACCGCACCATAGACCCAGTCATGCAATAATAATACTTAGCATCAAAGATGTCAAAGCTCTTCAGAGAAGATCGTATCAATATCTCAATTTGATCCATTAGAGACAGTTATTAAGCCTCTTACTTGAGGCCATGCAGTGATCTAGTGGCAGAACTGATACAAGAATAGCACTCCGTGTCTTAGCTGTGAGCTTGATTTAGTTTATTTACTATTCTGGATATCAATTCCAAAAATAGATTTTATTCATTTCTTTGTTTATTGCTGCCATGCTGTTTTCTCTATCTTATTTTTTTTCTTTCTCTCTCCTCTCTTTTGATAATATTTGAGATCTCCTGTTTCGGTTTAGAATCAAATTCTCCTAGGCAGTTTAGGCTGGAGGAGAATTCCTTGACTGCCCAGTTATTAATAGCTCTGGTTTCACACTTCCCTTCCCCCATGTCCCTTACTCTAATCACTTCTAATAAAATATTTTTGATCAGATTAGCAATGTACGAAAGAATAGAAAGCATTTCTTGGCTCCCAGACACATACAAAGTACTTTATTATTTATTAATTATTATTATTTAAGACAGAACCACAGATAAGATAAACACTTTTGAAAAATAATAAAAGTGAGTAATGAAACACTTGTCTGCTTCACTTGGCAAAGAATCAGTCTGGAGTTATTATCAAATACCAGGAGGGAGTGGAAGAGACAGAGAGGGAGGTGGCTGCAAAGATAATTCAGAGATGGGAATCCTGTGYTCTCTGTTAAGCCTCTGGACACTGAGTTTGCCCACAAAGCTAAATCCTGAAGCAACTTTGGTGACTCCAGTGGACATCTGCTTGCTTGTATTAGCTGAGTATCTAATGTGCTCTGTATTGATTTCAAGATAACATCTCCAGATTTGAATTAGGATATCTAAAAGTAAGGCTTGGCCAGAATTTAATAGATAAGGGTGAGAGAGGTTTCATTGTGTTTTTGTTTTACAGCAGCTGATGAGAGGGTTTTAAATCCACCCTGTTTAAGATCACTTTGAACCCATTTGCAGCTGGCTATTGGCCCTCATTTTGAAATTTAAGAGAAAGCAAACATATTTCAGGAGGTTTATTTCAACCACAGATATAAAACAAGAGAGTCCCAGTGCAAGCTGAGAACCTGCTTTTCAGCAGTGCACATACCACTTCAGGAAAAAAAAACACTTGGAAGGAAGCAGTGGTGTGCAAATCAAAATAAACCTGCACTGAATCTGTGCTTGGGGAAGACTTCAGACCTCTCTTCAGCATCTAAAAGCAACTACATTCCCTGCAGAAGAGAGAGAGTCGGGTTTAATGGTAGTGTCAGTCTCCCACTGAATGACTTTAATTTTCATGATCAATGCAGGCAGGTGGCAACAATGGGCTCTTCAAATAACTAATTGCAGAGGATTACACACTGATTGTTATTTTTTGTTTGTTTGTTTTTTGTTCCTTTGTTTATTAACCCCTGTCTTCCACTACGTGGAATTCTTTACCTGCTCTCAGCCACAAGATTGAGCTCCTGGAACCATTCAACCACTTTTTCTTTATTTCCTCCCTCCCCTCCCTCCCCTCCCTCCCCTTCCTTCCCTCCCTGGAACACCTTTCTGGCACTCCTCAAGGTTCACTAACCAAATAAAAACAGTCCCCACATCCCCCCCACACACGTTGTCACATAAATATAGATTGATTTCTGGCCCAGGATGTGACTGAGTGTATTTTGTTTTGCTTTTTAATGCTTGTGACATTTGTGTTTTAAGTCCACTAATTTTTTTTTTTGTGTGTGTGTGCTTGTTCTTTGTTTCATGTTTCCTGCAGGTGACAGAGCTCCGGGGGCATCATTTTGCCTGAAGCTGAGAGCAATGAGATCTAAGCTCAGGTAAGATCCCTGTAGGGACTGGGGGTGCTGCTGTGGCAGTCTTCATTCTGACTTTGTCCTGATTGCTGTTTCCTCTTATCCTTGAAGTATTTTTGACCTAGTAGTGATGAACATGAAACCCTCTAAAGTTCACATGGGCCTTTAAGCTGAACTTGAGTTAACTTTTCCTTCGACAGTTTTCACCACTGTTATTGAATGCAATGCATCCTGTCAACCCTCTGAACCCACGGGCTAGTCTGGGACCCCAATGTTTATCCCCACATTGCAGCATGACGTGCTGCCACTTAAGCATTTAATTTTATGTTAGGAGACAAGGATTCCCATTGTGCCCTTTACAAAAGAGCCACAAGGAAAAAAGTCCCCCTGTCTTGCCAGCCAAAAGGATCTTTGCCAGCGCCAGGTGGTACGAAGCATGAGGCAAGTGAGAGGGGTGACTCCTGGCACTGCCTGTGCAGCAAGGGTAGCAATTAAAAAAATATGTTGCTTTTGAGAGAGAGGCCAGGAGCATTTGGTGTTTGGTGTCAAGGGACTGAAAAGGGTGCCATGAAAAGCCTTGTAGGGTTCCTAATGAACCATTTTCTGTGCTCCGCCGCCTACTTGGATGATTGTTCTGAGCTGGCTACTGTGTTCCTGTGTCCAGCTCCTGCCAAGCGGTTATCTTCCTGCCTGCATCTGTTTTATTCCATATTCACCTCCCTGGCTAGAAGGGTGAAACTAAATATCTAGGAAGCTGATGGGTTGTGAGCTTTCTGTTTGTTTTCCACTTTAAATAATCTCCTGAATTTCTAGCAGTTGTCTAATTTAATTACTTTGTTTCAAATACCATTTTAGTGAGAAATGTGGAAGTATAGGGACATTAAATCATCCGTACATAAATGTATATACTGTTTGGATGTGCTGTGATGTCCTAGCTTCTCTTTCCCAGTAATAATACTTGAGTCATTGGGCAGAGACAACCAAGCAGCAAGTGAGTTTAGCTGCAAGTGTCACCTTTGCAGACTTCCCAGAGAGCTTTAATGGCTTCATGTAAGCAACAGTACAACGCGCTTTCCTTTGAGTACTAATAACATCGTGTTGTAACTTTATCTTCAGCACTTGTGGTTTCTTCTTTATTACAAAGAGAAAAGCTGTCTTTATATAAGCTTATTTAAGGAACCAAAGTGTATTAACAAAATTAATACTGTGCTAGGGAGGTAAACATTGTAGCTGCAAATTAATTCATAGAATGTAAACAGTGACTGAGGAACTGCGTGCTGAATGACCATTACCTGCTTCAGGAAGGTGAGGCACTGTGATTTATACACTCATGTCACTGGTTCAGATTGCTATTAATAACAACACATTTGATGGCAACTCTATGGTACATCTCTGAWGTTGTGCTTCAAGCTGTGTAAGGTAGACAAGTGTCACTAAAATAGAAAGGTAAACAATTATTGAAGTTCATTCTTTTCAGGATATTAAGTTACATGATCAAAATTCATTTTTTTTTAATTCTAGAACAAAATACTRCTTGAAACAAATATCTCTCTAGAAAATTAGGTCAACTCTGTTTAAAGAGAAATAYGCTGTGCATTGTTGGAACACTATATGTACCAATGGAATGTATTTGTTTATAAATTCATATGGTCATAGGAGAGCCTCACTAAATTTGAAAAGAAAAAGATGTGAAAAAGACTTCAATGAGATAACTGGGATGGAAAGCACAGATAATGCAGGCTCCAACTGAATTTATAATATTCACTTTTGTATGTGAAATATGTTCTTTATTTGGGAAAAGAATGTGAATATGAAATACATTGCATGCCAGTAATTCTTTAGATTTTCAATCCATTCATCAGAATGGAAGAAAGAAATCTTTTCTGTATTCCTGCTCTTTTTCCAAATTCCCAGTCTCTGTATTTTGTGTCTGTCTGTTTCTCTCGGTGCTCCATGGAGAGGCTGTTCACAATTATGCCTTGCTAGTAAAACAAGGTAAAATAATATAAAATCCCATTGCATTGTCACAGAGATAAAGCATGTGATAACTTATTGTTTTAGCTGATCAGCAGGGTGGCCTGCTACAATGAATTCCCCTTTCCTAGTTTTGGYTTATCTTCTGATTTCTGAGAGACACAACAAAGAAAAAATATAATAGCAATAGTCTTTTTTTGCTTTCACATGAACATGAATATTGTAATAGCATAGTCAGTGGAGGGAAAGGACAAGGAATCTGTGCAGCACTTGAACAGCACCAACACCCCACACTTGCCTGACTCCATGTGGAGACACTAGGCTTTTGTAGCAGCACTTGCACTGTGGAATAAAAACACATTCAAGTTCTGCCCTCAGTATGAGGTCACCTGTAGTCTGCATGTAAAGTTATATCTTTTTACTGTTATCTAAGATATCTCTTCATAAACTAAGCCTGTGGTAACTAACATAGCTATCATAATTTTCTGCACTAAATTCACAGTTTAAGTAGTTCAGCTCTTGGGCATGACTTTCTGGACTATACTTGTCGATTATTGCAGAACTTTCTGCAAAAGGAAAGGTCTGTAGGTCTCCCCTACAAAACTTTCTTTCATCTGGGAAGATCAGTTAAACCATCAGAATATTGAGCATTTTCTAAGAAAGAATTAACAGGCTGCTTCTGCATGTTATGTATTTGCTTTGAATTGTTGCCGTCTCTCTTGGTTTGAGCAATAGGGAAGAAAACACAGAGCTTCCCTGCATCTTATCCTGCTGTGCATGAGAASGTGTCCTGTGCTGCATGGGTTTTAGATCAGGCCATAGTGACTAATTTTTTGGGGAAACCCTAGTTAAAATATTCTCAGCGCATAAATGGTAGTAGAAAATTGAGATGATATAATGTGTTCTCAGTGCACTTTTTTTTTTCCCTGAGGTGCTGTGAAAAGAGTAATGCAAATTTCTGAGGTAAGAAATGTATTTGCCCACCCCTTGCTCAGTAAAACACTGAGCAACTCTCCTCAGAGCTGCGCTCAAGAGGGCATGAAATCCATGCCACAGGTTTCAGGCTAGGGCCTGGCATCTTCATTAAATGCCTTAAATTTTATGGTGGATATCGCAGGAGTGAGGTTACCCAAAGAACTTGCATCATATAACCCAGTGATGTCCATTAAATGTTTGCCAGCCCCTTCACCTCCTCGAGCATAGCATTGGCTGCCACTAGGAAGGGCTTTAACAATCAACTCCAGTTCTTTGAGGGAGATCTTGTGCCCTTCTGAGACCACTGAGAGGCTGCTGAAGCTCTTTTTCTGGGACTAAAATAGATGCAAATTGTGCAGATGGAGAGGAAGCTCCAACAGCGGTTGAATGCAATCTGTGAACGCTTCTGTTTCATTTATAGTGATGCTACCTCGGCATTTGCACTTAAAAGGAACAATAAAGAGGTGTCAGAACAATCGCAAGGCTGCAGAATTTAAACTGCGGCAAAGACATTTTGAGCCATGTGAGATGTTGCCTGCTAAAGATCTGCTTTTTCCGTTAGTTTTTGTTTTTACTGAAGGCTTTTCTAGTTCTCCTTGTTTTATGACATGGAATGGTTCATTTGCCTTCAAAGCCTTAAGAGGCAAAGAAGGAGGGAAACAAATTAAGTCAAAACTGCAATGACTAGTGAAAACTGCACAAAGCGTGTCAGGGCTCCTCTTTATTTTTCTGTTTAGTCTTGAAATAACTCAGCAATGCAGCTGGGAGACAGTTGATACGCTAACTAGAGCCAGCCAAGCTCTAGCAGGTAGCAGCAGGTCAGCTGTGATGCTTCAGTGTTACTCTTCCTCGCAGGACGAGTGATGGCCAATCTGCAGAACGATAGAGCCTGTCTAGTTTGTACTGTGGCACGTGCTATGATGTGAATAGGAGCTGCTGTTGCCTCTTAGTCTCTTGATTTGGTGAGGGGGGATTGCACAGGAGAGAAACTGCACAGAATGTACACCCCCACACGTGTGTGGGTGTATATATATATGTRTATATATATATATATATATAATRGTGGCTGTCAACTAACAGGTAGTTACTGATTAATAAGAATACTAGGCTTGCATTTAGTGTCCTGGTAAAAGCACAATACGCTGTGACTGTGAGCGTGATTGTCTGAGATGTTTGCTACGTAACAGCTGCAAATGGCGAAAGCTCCGTGTGTTTAGGAAAAGCAAGTAAACGGAAGCATTTATTGTTGTTATACCATAATATGCATTCAAAGTGCCCTAAACCTGTTGAATAAGGGCAAAGAGCAGGAATGGGGAGTCTGAAAAAGGAATAGATACATTTGTACATTGAAAGACCCCTCCCACTCAAAAAAAAAMCMAAAAAAAMCCCARAAGTGMAGCTATGTGAATCTTAAAGTGTGGCTAGTTTTGAAAGTAAAGCAGAAAAATATGTATTGTMAGATCTGTTGTCATTCTGGATCTTCTAGACTTCCTGTGGGATTTTGGCATCTCATTTTATACATCGTGTTCATTTGTATGCTGTTGGTGCTTAGAGGCCCTGGTTGAGGCCCAGACATATTAATCTAGATATATTTCAAAGTTTTCTCAGCCTAAATAGCTAAATATCCCCAAATTGAAGTCAGTTCAAGTTGCTGAAATCCTTATTTGGCCTTAATGGTGTGATTTTTAGTTTGGGGTTTTTGTTTGTTTTGWTTGTTTGTTTGCTATGGGGGAGGAAGGGAGGAGAATGGCATGTTTCTTTGTGGCTTGAGTCAATTGCTGCATGTTTTTTCCCTCCCCAACCTACAGGAAAATGAGTGATCTGCACACAGTGAACATACTGTTCTCATCTTAGAGAAAAGTTATAGCATAATTAATGATAGTAAAATGCTCTAAGAGCCTTCTAATTGATATATTAGAAGTTCAAAGTGATAGTGTTTATCATATAATATAGATCTGAACCGTGTGAGCAACTGTTTCGAATCAGTAGCTTTTAGCAAGTAGCGTACTTCCCAGGAGGGGAGGGGAAAATAAAAGGCAGGAGTTTTTGCTTTAATAGTTTCGTCTCTATATGTG